ACGTTGACCGGTTCCGTTGACATTTTACTTTCCTCCTAAGTGCCGAACAATCGTTAGATACTGACCGTTTGTTGGGCTCAACCTGATCGACCGATAGCCACATTTCCCACAACAACAACAACAAACACCACAAGCAGGAGATAGTGAACTATTAATTGTTTGATTGATCATCCTTCGGATTAGATCTTCGCATAAAAATCTGCTCATCCGGTCGACCAACCGTACTCGGCGGTCGGAATGAGTGAGTGGCACTGAAGATGACTGTTAAGCGAACTTGAAGTGCTTGAAAAGGTGATCAACTTCAGAATGAGCTGGTTGGTAACACACTTTGCCGGGTTCGAAGATCAAAACCCTGGACTGCACACTGAATCGATACAATTGATGAGTCCTAACAGGGGCGAAACTTGGGTTAATTGCATCCCGGGTGTGATTGATTGATCGGATGAGCCGAGGATTTCGCGTTTAGTTCGATAAATGCTCAATCACACTATTGCACACTTTTATCCATCAATGATTATGAATTGAAAGCGAGTTAACGAATAAGAGATTTGTCGCAGCGGGAACAAGTGTCGCCTTTTAGTTGCGCTCGTTCAATTTGACAGTTGAAACAAGTCCCAAATTAGTCTATATCTGATGAGTAGCTTAGATTTTCACAAAGGAACGTCTGAAGTTGGAGGAGGAATCCATGTTAATTGGTGGATGCATATATAATGACTCTCTCTCTCTGGCCCTTGTAACGGTCAAATACGGGACTTCATGAGGTGGGATTCATACCTGACAATCGTGTAATCGATTGCGAGATCCCAGAGATGTGCATTCGTGGTGGCAAGCCGCGTTGAAACAACTGTATCGCACTACCTCCACATTTACGCGTCAGATATCTCAGGCACTTAGGTATTCATCACATCAGCGGTGTTTAGAAAGTATATGTCCACTTTTTCCGTCATAAAAGTTTTGTCCCAATCTGCTCCGTTCACTTCGTCCCCTGATTTTACTGTAATACGTGACAAACAAATTTCGTATTGCCTTATTTCGATCATCCCACATCCTTGATCTCGCATCGAATGCGTCTAGGAAGGGTTCCTCAGGTTCCGAAAAAGGCGATTTCCACATCTATCAAACGTCACACTCCTTAAGAGATCCAAATGCTGCGCGCATCTGTGCAGCGAGGTAGCAATTTCTTCTCCAACACTTGTAAGACCATGTGCAATGCAAGACTACTCACATTATTTCTCCTTGTCCTCAACATTCACCAACGCGGAATCACCTCTCTGATCCTTCGCCATTTGAACCTTACCGAGTCTTGCTCCCAAGCGTAAAGACACTTACCGAGTAACCCTAAAATGCCAGTTCAACAGTGGTTTATAATTTCCGAATGGTGTAACACTTTCCTGACAAGTACAAACTACCTAAATTCTATATTTAGATGAATATACATCACCCTCACTCACACTTATGAATGCGGCGTTTGCACACACACGCGCATCCCTCATGCCTGTCATTGAAGCACCAACAGAAATAGCAAGAATTGGAGCGGAAGAAATAGGTCCGAGCCTTAGCACTTATTTCTATTACTTACCATCGTAGCTTCTGTCACCCCGCCCCACCCCACCCCTGAACCGCGAACATTCACCATAGAGGAAACACGAAACAATGAAGCAAAAATTAAATTCGGCGATCAGCATGACGATTCAGATGTGACGGGGTGTCGCATTCAAACTGCACCAACCTAATTCTTCAGTTATCCGATTTTTCCCTGTGGCATTTTTTTCAGAACGTAAAGCCTGTACTTGGTTTGAACCAAACAACAAAAGACAAATAATTTTCAGGCGAACGCCGTCAGCGAACAGCAACGCGTCCATATCAATATCGTTTCATAGCCACAAACAAATACTGCAGAGTTGGCGGTTTATTAAGTTAAGTAATTTTTTGAAACTGGTGACAAAAATCCACTGGCGTCAGCCACGAGCATCGGAGGAGAAAAGTACAAATAGCAAAGTCAGCAGAAACATGCTTCTCTTTATATTATATTATGAAACCCAAACAAGAAAAAAACATGTAGCATCGACACGTATTGTGAACGAGTCTACAGAGAGAGAAGTTTGGAGCAACTAGGCTGAAAAGAGCCTAAAATGAAAACAACAACGTTCTACCGAGTGACAAGTAGAGATTGGGGGCCGGATGGGAACACACTCGAACACAATGATACAGATGCTGGTCGGAACTGGTTGTATCCGAACACAACGCTGAGGAGGACGCCCGAGGTGCGGGGTCGGAGGTTAGAGCATACTGCTAGTATGGCATTGATGTATTCGACCGACTTGTCGTCTCATGAGTGTCGCCACACACAGACACGCTATGAATTGTTCAATGGAGGAGCACCAGGGCGAACAGAACGAACCGTGTAGGTGTTTGAGCGTGATTGGAAAAATGAATCGCATGTGAAGCCAAGCAGACAAGTATGTGTGTGCAACAGGTTGCGGTTGGTGAGTGGTGCATGAGAATTGGAGATATCAGCATAGGGTAGAAAATGAGTGTCATCTGGAGTAGTGGGGGGGGACGGCGGGGTAACGAGGACAGCGAGCAGACTTGTAGGGCTATGAAGAACAGTCTGAGAGTTTGAAAATTTCTAAGTGAGGATTCTTTGAAGGGAAAGTGGAGGTTGACGGGCATAGATGTTTCATGTGTGCAAATATATATATCTGTATATTTGTATGCTTGTTCTCGGATGAAGCGTACCCGATTCAGATCTCTGATATTCACGGGGAATTCGTTGAGTGCGATGACAGGTGATGGTG